GGAGGTGGAAACATTATGCTTTGGGGCTGTTTTTCTGCTAAGGGTACAGGACGACTTCACCACATTGAGGGGCAAATGGACGGGGCCATAAAATCTTGAACGTGAAACTCCTTCCCTCAACCAGAACACTGAAGATGGGTCATGGATGGGTCTTCCAGCATGACAATGACCTGAAACATTCCGCCAAGGCAACAAAGGAGTGGCTCAAGAAGAAGCACATTAAGGTCATGGAGGGGCCTAGCCAGTCTGCAGACTTCAATCCTGTAGAAAATCTGTGGAGGGAGCTGAAACTTAGAGTTGCCAAACGACAGCCTAGAAACCTTAAGGATTTAGAAAGAATCTGTAAAGAGGAGTGGATCAAAATCCCTCCTGAGATGTGTGCAAACCTGGTGACCAACTACAAGACACGTCCTACCTCTGTGCTTGCCAACAAGAGTTTCTCCACCAAGTACTAAGTCATGTTTTGCTTGGGGATCAACTTCATTTTCACTCACTGAAATGTAAATCAAGTTCTAACCTTTATATAATGTGTTTTTTCTGGATTTTTTTGGTTTGTATTCTGTCTCTATACATTAAATTAAAACCTACCATAAAAATAACAGACCCTTAATTTCTTTATAAGTGGGCAAACTTACAAAATCAGCAGGGGATCAAATAAATATTTTCCCCACTGTAGATGAGTTTGTGAAACTCCTGCCCTCAACCAGAACACTGAAGATGGGTCATGGATGGGTCTTCCAGCATGACAGTGACCCGAAACATACCGCCAAGGCAACAAAGGAGTGGCTCAAGAAGAAGCACATTAAGGTCATGGAGGGGCCTAGCCAGTCTGCAGACTTCAATCCTGTAGAAAATCTGTGGAGGGAGCTGAAACTTAGAGTTGCCAAACGACAGCCTAGAAACCTTAAGGATTTAGAAAGAATCTGTAAAGAGGAGTGGATCAAATTCTGGATTTTTTGGTTGGTATTCTGTCTCTATACATTAAATTAAAACCTACCATAAAAATAACAGATCCTTAATTTATTTATAAGTGGGCAAACTTACAAAATCAGCAGGGGATCAAATAAATATTTTCCCCACTGTAGATGAGTTTGCTCCGAACAGATTTGCGTTATATCACTTGCTCACCAATGGATCCTCTGCAGTGAATGGGTGCCGTCAAAAAGAGAGTCCAAACAGCTGATATAAAACATAATCCACTCATTAAAAAAAACATAATCCGCAAGTAATCCACATGACTCCAATCCATCAATTAATGTCTTGTGAAGAGAAAAGCTGAATGTTTGTAATAAACAAAGTCATCATTAAGACTTTCTAACTGTTGCTTCCAACTAAAATTTGACTACTCCATCCATATTGCTTTCTCCAGTAAAAAAAAAAATCATGTTATCTGAACCAGGAGAACAATATGCACGGATCAAGTACCATTTACAAGTGAAAACGGTTCTAAATAAATATGTCTGTGGATTTTTATGTTTTTTTTGTAACTTGTATTTTGGCCAGAAGCGACAGTTTAAAGTTAAATTGGATTTGTTTCTTAAAAACACAAATTTTCAACTCCACAAGACTTTAACTGTAGAACTGAAGTCGTGTGAATAACTTGTAGATTATTTTGATGTTTTTATCAGCTGTTTGGACTCTCATTCTGACGGCACCCATTCACTGCAGAAGATCCAAGTGAAATTGAAGTTTCTCAAAATCTGTTCTGATGAAGAAACAAACTCCTCTACATCTTGGTTGGCCTGAGGGTGAATACATTTTCAGTAAATTGTCATTTTGGGGTGAACTATTCCTATAAAGCAAGCAGCTTCACTGTGTTAATATCAGTTTCAATAGAATTACAACTTCAATTTCTACTATAAAGCAGCTCTTCATTGTGTTCATGTATTTACTCACTTCTAACCTCGACAGACTGAACAGAAGAAACGAACCGGAGAAAATTTCCACGTCAAAGAAGGCAGAGCCTCAGAGCACACCTACTCATTATGCAATCGTCACGGACCAATGGTAGTTCGAAGGCGTTTACCAGCCGGAGCAAACTTTTCCAGAAAGTTTGCTTTGGCAAGCTGTTTCGAACACCCAAAGTGAACTCCAAATTTTGTTCGAAATGACATCATACCAGTTCGTTCTTCGATTTCGCTTGAAGTATATGGGGCCTGTAGTGGTCATTCACACAGAACTTGTTTTTGCATTGAAAAACATGACATTGGGAATGGGGGGGAAAACGCAAGGACACTTTTTTTTTTTATTAAACTTCTTTAGCTTAATTGTCAAACACGACCATCTAGCGCATGTTTACGAAGAAAAACAATGAAAATGCAGTGGAGTGGAATACAAAAACACACTCTGTGTTAACGGCCCCTTAAGTTGCATTCAGCAAGTTCAAGGTCCAATTTAAAAGGTTTACATGCTGGTTAAATATGTTGTTAGTGATAAAACAACTATGTTGTTAGTCTTTGAGTCATTGAAAGTTTTTGAAAATAATTTTATTTAACTGTCTGGTGAATGGTTTTCTTGAAGCTTTGCTGGATCCTAAGCGACGTGTGGAGAACCAGGACAGTTCGTGCGTGTTGCTAAGAGATGAGACATTCTCTCAATAACACTGTGGGTTCCAGGAGTCACTAACTACACACAGTGCCACACAGTTCACCTTATCACAGGATCGTGTGATCTGAATTATGCTGATCAGTGGAGGAGATGTGGACTAATTCTTCTGTCATTCAGTTTACATAATTTTTTTGTCTTCAGAATTTTTTTGCACAATCTCTAATATCCTGCTCATGCAGCTTTGATGGCTGGTCTCTCAAAAATGACACATCTAGGATAGAGGAACTTGCACGATTCTCTCAGGGAGGAAGTTAGAACTCATCGTATCAGCAGACAGACGCTGGGCCAGTTGAGCTCTTCCATCACTAAGGTGCAGGTTTCTTTCTAAATGAAAGATTCTCATATGTAATCTCTCATTCTGGGAGGATTTTGCAACAGTTAATAATTAAATTGTTACAGATTAATAGCAAAAAATCAAGATTGTGAATCAGTGTGAACAGTTCCCTATCAGGTAATTACTACACAGGTTTTTATTACATTCTTTGGAGAATCATGATCCAGTAGAGTATTTTCTTCTCTCTGTAGTTTAATAGCCAAAGTGTGGTACAATTGTACTATATTATGTCACTAGATCTATAGCACATTATCATACTTCATTTTTTTTTTAAATAGCAAGTTATTGGTTACAAAGAGAGCAAAGACAGTTTGGCATAGATCTCCAAAAAGAATTAAGGCTTGAGAATATCTTTGTTATTGAAATGTTTTTCTTTTTTTTATGTTTTAGATGTTTACAGTGTAAGGTGTCCTGTGCGGTCTCACTTTGTTTGTGACTGTGTGTATATATATATTTGACTAGGTGAAAGATGCTGCTATCCTGACCGCGAGCCGTACGCTTATGGGCATGTCATCCATGTAATAAAAGATCAGAACTGAGAGAAATGCAGGGATTACATAATGAAAGAGTTTATTTTATTAGGAGTCTATTTTCTATTTTAAAGTAGTAATTTAAAGCTTTCTATATATGTTGATCATGTCTGAGTTTAGGTTCATGATTGTGAAGCGCTCCTGCTCAAGACCGAGTCGGCAGAAAGCGTTTGTTTTCTTTATTTTATAAAAGCACAACGTTTTGTTGATATTGTGAGTGCACACAAATAAAACTAGACCCTTTACAGTTTAGAATGATGTATTACTCTTACCTTTATGAGCAAAAATGACTGCGTATTAAGTTGTTTCCACTATTAGAAAAAAATGCAAGTGATCGCGCTGGCGCCTCCATGTCCTGCAGAGCCGCTTCAGCTTCCACTCCTCCACAAACGATTGGATATATTTATATAGGTTAAACATTTAAACTAACATTGTGATATGCTTGAACTGTTTTATATATAGATTTTATTTTAGGCAAGTCGTGATGATTTGAGAAGGCTAAATTGATCAAACATAGGCTATAGGCTATGATCAATTCACTGTCTGCCGCTGACCGTTACTTAAAAAAACAAAAAAACTTACATTTAACGAACAAAAATTACTCCAAATGTTTTTCTAAATTTACTTTATAAAAAACGAAACGAAATATAATCACTTCCATTGCATACAAAACTGAACTATTTTAATAGCTGAAACAGTAGTATAAGCTTTTTTTGGGAAAAGGGGAAAAAAGACGGGCTAGGGCCTATATTTGAGACCCGTGCAGGGCTTTAATCCACTTCATCCAACGCTGTTTTGTTCTCATCTGTGAGCATGCTCTTGATATATGTATTTTAGGTGTGTAAATTTATAATTGCCTTTTCATTATTTTTTTATTTTAATTTAGTTTTATTTAAATTTGTAGTTAAAACAACTAAAAATAAATGTATTTTAAAGTTTAGAATTAGACAGCCTTTGCACACAGGCTAACGCTGAAAACAACAAAATGGAACCTCAAGGTTGATCTAGGAAAATGTGTGCAAATGTATAGGGCCCCATTCCTATATTTTGCCTGGGGCCCCCAATTCACTAAATCCGCCCCTGAATGTAGTACCTACCCTGTGATTTAAAATGCAGTGTGAAAATTTTGACTCTTTTTATCACAGCTTGTCTGTGTTTACAGCCGAATCAAATGAACAAATAAAATGTATTTGGAACATTGCTTTTGCTAAAATATAGAATACAAATTCCAAAGGCCCCCCTTAGGGATTTTTTTTATTTTTTATTCTGGTCCCATAATATATAATAATAATAATGAAAACAAAAAACTATTTTGAGTAACATTTTAAGTACATACTGAAATAAATGGTAGAACACGTTTATTATGCTTATTTAACCACTTTTGGGCATTTTTTCAAAATGAAGAACAGTAAACGCACAAAAATAATGAATTGGAACCGGTTGCGAATATTTTATTTTAGAATAAGCACACATTTACACTTGTTCATATGCTTAATACGTCGTATTTTATAATGAAATTAAATATAATAATTTTTACATTGACGCTGTTAGGCAGCAGAGGCAGACCAGCCTAAAAATTTAACTTTGTCATCCTGTCCTAACAACAAATTGAGCAGCATCAAGACTACTACACAGTGAGGGTATGAGCTGCATTTCCATATTCGAAACAAAAAGTATTTGTACACCAAATGAAACTGTTTAGAAAACAACACGAAACATAAGCTGTCGCCTAGGTAGAGGATTTCAAGGGAAAGTTATTTGGCAACCCAGAGGGAGGAGATCTGCGAAGCCACACACACTGATGACTGCAGACATTGGTCAAGCTCTTAAAATGTTGTTGAGAGGCAACCATTATGATAAATGGGTGTTTGACATGCTTTTAGAGGAAGAGATGACACACTCAACGGATATCGATCGACAATTAGAGACAGAAGAATATACAAGTTAGATTTTTGAACGCGATGCGGTCACGCGGAACTGTAACGTTTTTTGAGTGACTCAGTAACGATTTCGGATTTGTTTATTAACAATTATTAGCGGGAAAAATAATCAAAAATGGCTTCTAGATTGGGTTTATTGGGTTTCCCCGTCAACTCCAGTACCCCAATAAACCCCAGCATGAACCTCTTGAACCCGGGTCACAGCAGCGCCATGAGAATGCCAGCAATGCCACAGAATTCACCCTACAGAGGGATGGGCAGTACCCCGAACCAGTACCTCCAAGTAAGTGAAGAAACCACTCTTTATTTTGTTCTCTGAAGTGTTTAGCATCACGCCATAGCTTCAGTTTTCTCTTCTGCCTTAAAATAGGAAGTGCCATTGCATTTGCAACAACGACGATTTAATAGCACATATATGACAATAAACATTGCCAGGTAATACAAGGATGCTTCTTTACAGAAATAAAAAGAGAAACGACTCAAATTTTGAATTAATTATTTTTAGAGCACTGTATGGTGAGGCCCTCGAAGAACAAACATGTACTTCCGCGTTTGAGTCCCACCATGAACACAACGCGGCGCGTAGCCTACTTTATTTTGAATAGGTTTAACGTTACCTGCAAATAATCGGTTCAGTCGCTAACAAAAAGTGCCATGGTAACTATTACATTTTGTAATATACCATGGTAATACGATTATCTTTGGACTGGACATATACCATTGTAATAGCATAGTATTTACTACGCCGTTGAGTAACCACCCATATGCCGTGTAACGTTATATGACTATGGTATCCTTTAACTCATAATGTCATGATGAACGTATTAAGTTAAAACCAATCTGATATAATAACTGTACAATGGTATATGGTATTTTTGGTTACCCTTTACAATAAGGTCCCATTAGTTGACGTTGCTTAAATGCATGAACCAAAATCAACAAAACAGCAATACATTTCTTACAGTATCTATTAATCTTTGTTAACATTTCTTAATTAAAATACTATTCATTGTTCATGTTAGCTCAGGGAACAATATTAACAGATACATCATTTGATTTTAATAATGTATAAAAGGGACGGTTCACACAAAAATGAAAATTCTGTCATTTACTCACCTTCTACTTGTTCTAAACTTATATGAGTTTCTTTTTTCTGTTGAGCACAAAAGAAGATATTTTGAAGAATGTTGGTATAGCTACTGACTTCCATAGTATTTTTATGTGTGCCATGGAAGTCAGTGGTTACCATCAACCGTTTGGTTACCAACATTCTTCAGAATATCTTCTTTTGTGCTCAACAGAAAAAAGGAAGTCATGCATTTGAAACAAACTGAGGGTGAGAAAATGATGACAGAATTTTCATTTTTAGGTGAACTATCCCTTTATAATGAATAACGAAATTAAGATTAATATGTGCTTTAGAAGTTTTTTTTTTTTTTGTTAACTAATGTATTTAGCTAATAAATGTAACATTGCGAAGTTTACTGTATTTTTGTTGTAAGAAGCCTACATGTAGTCGTACATAAAGTTTTAAATTTGCAGTGCTTTACCTATAATAACAGTTTGCTATTTGTTAGTGTCACAATAGTAATACTCAAATCATACCCACAGCGCCCGAGTATGTCACCCAGCCGAGGAATGCCAATGGGGGGCATGGGGTCTATGGGTTCCCCTCTACCTGGACCGTCTTATAGTGGGATGCCTCAAGCCACGATGGACCCTGCCCGGAAGAGACTCCTTCAGCAGCAACAGCAGCAGTCTGGGGGTCTTATGGGTCCAAGAAGGGGGTTAGTGCATTTAGTATAATTGTTTGTGCATGAATGGCAACAAATTTAAAGTTACAGTAGCATTCAAATCTCTTTAAAGTTCCCATTTGAGTCTGGGCTATGAGGCCTTATAAACAAAAAAAGGTTTTATTTTTGCAGCCTCAAGTAAAGTCTGTATTAGATGTGTTAATAATGTGGCAATATAGTGGTCTGGTTCTACTATAGAGCAGGATATCAAGTATGATATTACATCTAAGAAGAGCTACTAAAGCAAAAAAAAAAAAAAAAATCATATGATTCTGCTTTGTGATAGAAAGT